GGGATGTCCGGCGGAGGTGGCTCATGGGGGAATTTGATCTTCCAGAGCAAATCGGCTCTCTTGAACCCATGTGTTTGTTGACCATATGTAGTACTTCGGTGTTCCTGCATGAGTATTGTGCCCCGCATTCAGTGCAGGTGGCGGGGTCTGTTGCTTTGTTTAGTGCATAGCGCGGTCGTTTTTGGCTAGGTGGAATAACGGGTACTGGCATGTTGATTTGTTGGGGATTACACCATCAGACAACCAGAGGGAATATGGGTTTGTATTTTTCGCAGCAACCAGCCATAGCGATGCGAAGCATCTGTGCGAAAACGTGCTAAGGCTGTTTCTTCTTCTCTAGTAAGTTCCGGGTTGTCTTTAGTGGGGTCCCAGGATCCCGTGATTTTTGATCTATGGGAGGGAGGGGGTGTATCCTCTCCCTTAAGTATTCGTTTGGCGTAGGCTATTATATCTGTGATCCAAGTATCAGTTCTTTGCGGTAGTTCTGCAGCTTTTTTTGGCTTCTGTGTCGCTTTTTTCATTTTTTACTACACCGCAGTGACCAAAGATAAATTGTAGTCGTATGCGGGCCTTGCGACGTTGCACTTGAAGTATTAGGTTCCACAGGAGTCGTAGTATTGGGTCTTTTACGGTCAGTGGACCTGTTTCCAGTGCCGTGAGAAGAGACAGTGAGTCCGTGAAAATGGAGACCCTGTACGGCGTTGGGTTATTTGCGGGAATTATTTTGAGGAGTCTCCATATAAACCTTCGAATAGCAAAGAAAAAACATCGCAAACGGTAGGGTTCGAACCTACGCGTGAGATCACACCTGCTTAGCAGGCAGGCGCCTTAACCACTCGGCCACGTTTGCTGATCATCGGAACCCAGTGCTGCATAAAACCGTAGACTAAGCACCGCTGAGTGTTAAAATAAGAAAATCTTTGCTCACTCTTGGTTTCCACCCACAATACAAAGTACTGGATCATTGGCACTACGTTGAGGTTCACCACCCTCAGGAGCTAAAATAACTGCAGGATCATTAGCTAACACCAAACCGCAAGTACAACGAACAACAAACGCATTACACGGCGCATCATCATCATCATCATCATCAAGACGGTCATTGTCACTCTTCTTCATGTTGTTATCCTCCTTCTCACTTGAGTTCACAGGTCTATTCGATGGAGTGTGGAAAAGAAAGAAAAAAGAAGAAGGAAGAGAAAACACAGAAGCACCAGTACACCACTACTACTCCACACAGAGAGAGACACACACAAACATAAGGAGTCAACCATGAATATAACGGAGGTAGATGCATATTAGGGAAAATACTCATTATTCAAACAAAATAAAGTCCCATCCAATCCCATAAGAAAAGATATAAGAATTAAAAAACAATTTGGTAACATTGCAGAGATAGCCACACACACACAAAAACAATAACGGATAATGCATAAATCTCTATGTGTTGGCTTCTCCCTTTCCCCATTACAATTTGCAATTTCCCCATAGTAACAAGAAAATTATATTTTATCCCGCTCAGAAATAATGTGAAAGCAAACAAAAAAGAAAAGAGATATCATTTACCAGAATCACACAATTGCAGAGTGAGAGGCACACCACAAGGTGCACAGCAATGCTCTGCTTACAAGTATAAAAATGAAAAGAGATTAAGTATTTCCACACAAATTAATGCACCTCCGTACAGTGGGTGTCATCAGGATTAATTTTCTTAGTGCTCCATGTACAAAACACAGTAGCAAATATATTATTATTATTATTATTATTATTATTATTATTATTATTATTAACAGTAAACAAGTGATTACGAACACTCTCTAGAAGGGTCCCCACCACAGTGCTCAGCACACAGAGAGAGCATCAGCGGCAGCAGTGGCAGTTCCTTTGTATTTATTCCACGAATATCAGCAGCATTATGAGAGCGCCGTCTATCTTCTTTCTTTTCCTTCTCAGCAGCTTCCTCAACCTGTTAGGTGGCTTTACAACACTTGACAGTGTTCATCGTAGATCTTTCGTAATTCAATTTTTATTTCCTATTTTTTCTCTTTGATTCGGCATCTGTGCCTGCTGTTAGCTTTAACAATTGCATGAATAATACCAACATAGAGGAGATCATACTATCAATTCTTTGGGAAAGCCAAGTATGGAAACTGTGGTAATTCCGTTTCTTTACACATAATTTTGTGAAGGTTAAGAAGTTGAAAAACCAATCAAGTATCCACCCATTCAACATTTCCTTAAGCGCAAAGTGATGCTTCTCAATTTCTTTGATCGAATCATTAAATTCATGCTTATACTTATTACGAACGGCAGCTTCCTCTTCTTCCAATGCTGCCATTTCAGCAAATCTTTCCTGGATCCAATTTACCAAGTTTGCATATAATGACGTCATCCTTTCTAACCAATTTTGTCACTCTTCCTCTAGTGTGGTCGTGTGCAAGAGTCGAATATTTCAATCTGTTTATATTGCCAATTGATCAATGCTTGATTCATGTGCATGATCCCTGTGCGCATTTCTCCATCCGTCGCCTCTAGTTCACTTATTCGTCCATGCAAGTCCACATTTTCTCGACCTTTTTCTTTTAATTCATAACTCAACACAGCGATCTGTTGAACCTTCTGGTTCCAATCGTCCTCTAAATCATCGATTTTCTGACTCTTCCGGCCCAGTTCGTGCTTCAATACGTCATTCTAAGAATCATTTACAATAGCGTACACTGTTAAAGAGTTTCTCGCACATTCACATATTTTAACCTGTAATTCTTCTGCGTACCGTTCACCCTTGAGTTTGAACTCATTCCACTTGGCTAACGCAGCGTCGTACATTTGTTTGGCCTCATCCCAGGCGAAACGATTATCGTTCTGCTCCCATTTATTCAACGCTGCAAAGCCGCAGTCCGTGCATTGCGAAAGGTTTTACCATTGGATTCTTCTTTTATACGATCACAAAACACTTCCCTTGCCCTATCTAGCTCATCTGCAATGTTGTCATAACCTTCTGCCTTGAGCTGATAATACACCCACCAAGCTTTGCTACACAACTTGTACCATTTTATCCAATATGGAGAGCTATCTCTGTGAACCAAATCCATTGTGTGAGCCAACTCTGCGCGATGTTGGGCTATTTGCGCTTCCTTGGAGTCAGCTCCGTGCCTGTATTTCATCCAATCTGTATAGCACACATTTCTTTAACATTCGGTATCATATCTTTGTTCACCCTTTTCAAGAACAGCTATCTCTGCCTTCAACCACTCTGCCTTAGCGAGATAATACTCTTTGGTGTCCCACTGTGTTTTCCCTACCCAAGCCTCTTTCTCATCCCTTTCCTCCTCAGCAGCTGTCTCGGCCTGTTCAGCGGCTTGGTAAATCTTGGCTGCAGCATCATACTTCTTTAGCAATTCTAAACCTTTAGCAGAGTGCGGATCTTGTTTGGCTTCTTCCTGCAACTCAGCAAATACTTTTACCAATGTGACCACACAACAATTCCGATATCGGCGCTAAACTCTTGATGCGTGAAGTAATTGTTTCCTCTAATTGTTTCGCGTATTGATCGCCTTTGGGTATGAACTCATTCCACTTGGCTAATGCGGAGTCGTACATTTGTTTGGCCTTATCCCAGGCGACACAATCATTCCATCTTTCCCATTTCTTCAACGCTACTACGGCTGCATCCCGAGCATTGCGGTACGCTTTACCATTGGATTGTCCTTTTATATGATCCCAAAACGCTTCCCTTGCCCTTTTGAGCTCAGCTGCAACTTTGTCATAACCTTCTGCTCTAAACTCATAATACACCCACCAAGCTTTGCAATCCAACTTGTACCATTTTATCCAATATGGAGAGCTATCACTGTAAACAAACTCCCTTGTGCGAGCCAATTCTGCACGATGCTGGGCTATTTGTGCTTCCTTGGAGTCATCTCCGTACCTGTATTTCATGCAATCTGCATACAACGAATGTATCGTATACGCAGCAGTATACCTTTGTTCAACCTTTTCAGTGAAAGCTATCTCTGCCTTGTTTATTTCTGCCCAAGCGAGATAATATTGTTTGGTGCCATCCTGTGTTTTTCTTTCCACAGTCCATTTCTCAACTTTTTCCTTCTTAGCAGTTGCCTCGGCCTGTACAGCGGCTTGGTAACGCTCGACGGCAGCATTATATTTGGCCTGCAATTCAGATTCCGTGCTCATGGTTGAATTTTATAATAATGGAAATATCTACATGTGGAAAAGATTGTAGGCACAAAGTTTTGGAACAGTCAACAATATGGATTATAAGTGATCCAGTTACAGCAATTATAAGGAAAAACACAAACAAACAAGACTAGTAGAGTCAACACATCATCAATCTTTCAACAAAACACAAAAGAAAAATCACCATTGCTTTCTTTTTAATATAATCATTGTTATTATGATTACTATCCTGCTTAGAATCATTCATATGGTTATGGTCACTGTCACTACCATCATGTACAGATGGAGATGCAACAGGTGGTGTTGGCGTTGAGTCACGTCCCTCCATTCCCACGTACACAGTTCGCACAGGACGTGTACTCGCATCCTTCTTCCATTGGTGAAATAGTTCCTCTTCTCCACAAACACCGGCCGGCCGCACAGCGAACA